TACGAGTATGTTGAAGATAAATGACAACAAACAGATAGCTGCAGGATCAATACAGTAGATGTTGCAAATGCTTGCCTTGTTAGCTGTTTCACAAATTATTTAAAATAAAAAAGAAACATGCACATATGTGACTGTATCTTCTATAGGATCTGAACATCAAGGGAGGTGTGATTGGCTCAAAGAAACTGAAATACTGTGATCACTTTAAAAGCCACATTTCTTTCAATCTGAAATACTTTGGTTACATTAAACGCCATATTGGCTTCAAAAGAACAGTAAAGGATGGTATGGTTCTGGGAGGAAAAAGCAGGAATCAATCAGCACAAAGTGATCATAGGATATCAGGAACTTCCCTGGGCGTGACAGTTCATGGGTATTCGAGCAAACCGCCACACAGGCAGTAATTGTCTCAGACTCAATGAATATGCTTCAGAAGATAGAAACAGGCAGTATGCGCTCTGAATGGATAGAAAGCATTAGAAAATCGCACTTAACCTCAGTAACCTGGATCTACACACTGGGTCATGCGGCGTGAAGGGAAATGAGCGAGCGGACCAACTGGCAAGCACTGCACTAATGATTGCGGGAAAAAGCATGGACAGAGCAGATATAGTCAACGCTGTATGAACTAGGCTAGTGAAGAATGAGGAATCCCTGACACTAACACGATTGCGTGACATGGGAGTTAAGCATGGTGATGCATGTCTTTGCCGTCTTCGAGGCCGAGAAAGGAGACAATATAACCAGCTTCTCATAACGACAATTAGTAGAAGTACTTTGGAGAACTGAGCATGCATGGGTATGCCCAATGTGCAGTGACATCAATTGTGATAACAAAACATAAAATAACATCTTGTAGAGAGTTGGCAGTCCGAAACCCAAGTTCAAGGTGTCTCTTTCGTGCCAAAGAACTGCATGGCTTTTGGGTGAACAGTCGTTAACGAAGGCAGGCAGGTCGTTGTAGGGGCGACACCTGCTGGTGGATGTAATGTCCTAAGTCTCTTCTCCAGCTAATAATGAGGGTACTGCTAGGGTGACCGTTTATTAACCCTCATATAATGCTTGAGGTCAAAATGGATGCTAGGCACGGCCACCTATTTTTTTTTTTTTTAGCCGTGGCAATTTTTTTTTCTTCTGTCAGATGGTGGCCGTTGCATTTTTGCTCCATTTGTAGACTGGAAGGATATAGTTTCGTCGCCCAGCTTCTGAGTTCAGTGCATGGCATGACACTGTGAGCTACATGTGTTTTTGGTTGGCACAGGAGCGGAGCAACTATGGAGTGACCCGTTTGCTTTGAAGCTGAAACTAGGATTACCAGATTACCAGTTCATGAGGCGGCAACGCTGGCAAGGGTGGCTTTCAGTCTGTCATGAGAGTGACATTCTGCAATAGACCTACTACATGATGATTCTCTAAGTTTAAGAACAAATACTTCTTTCCCTGAGCACTGGAATGGAGTCTGCTGAAATACCTCAAACCTGCTGAGGGTATATTATCAACTTAGATATAATCACCACCAGTAGCATATTATGTACTGAATGATGGCCAGGTTACATCCCAATATGCTTCTCTGCAAATGAGAAATGTCAGTGCCTGTTATGCATTCCCCAATCTCTTCTCAGCTTGGAGAGGTAAAAGAGGGCTCTTCAACGCAGTCACCATGTTTATGGAGATTTGCTACTGGGTTGGGGGGGAAAAGGTCTCTTCAGCAATGAGACTTAACATAGCTCAGGTGATGTGAACCACACCGAACCAGTGGACCTAAAACATTAGAACTGTATGTCTATTTATTCTGTCTGCCTTTGATAAAAAACATTAGTAGGTGGTAATATGTACATAGAGGGCCTGTTGCTATGGTTATCTTCTTCTTCACGTTCACCAGCTGTAAACTCTGGCGGAAAGTTCTGGTTGTTTATCCACTGCTGGACTGCAGTCCTGTTCCAGAACTTGAGTGTTGCGTGTGCATCCGTTTTACAGATCTGACTCATTTGTATGCAGACTGCTGGTTCCTTGCCTCTCAGGCAGATGCACTCCGACTTCGAAGGAAGCTCCCAATTAGTCGACTCTTACGACATGCTTTTGGGTAGGCAGTGGGTCTATTCTTGTTTTCCCTATAATAGGGCCCCGGAACCCACACGATGGTTATGTGCAATAAACTGTTGTCTTCAGGAACAATAAATATGTGCAAGGCAGCAAATCAATTTCATGTTGGAGACTCCCATACCACTGTCAAAAGTCACTAGAACTGTCTTTCCCTCAACCCCCCGCTGCAGAAACTGAACCCTGGTACATCAAAGATTCTGAAATTTGTTATTCACAAAACTAGCAATATTGGTCATTAATTCCCTTCTTCACCCTGCCATTCATGTTCAGCAATGTGAACTTGTTTTTTCACACATAACTGTTATTGATCACTAACCCTCATTTGTTCCAGCTGCGACTCCATCTGGTGCTCCCGGGCTTGTTTATCACTCCCAGAAACTGAGAACGTTCCAATGTACTGAAGAACAAAAACAGAAACATCAACTCGAATTAAACATAGAACTATTCACCTACAAAACACATCACCAAAATGTGTCACGCCGACTGGCGTGGGTGATCATACCTCTCCACAATCTACGATCTGCAACGGTGTGCATCAGTTCGTGTTTTGAAACCCCTCCATGCCATGACAAATGGCTCTAAAGAATCTTCTCATGCTGTCTTCCTCCGTCTTTCTTCCTACAGATCTCAACAGTGGTCACAACATGTTCCAGTTTCATTCTCCTCATAATATGACCAACAAATTGATGACTGTCTCTTTCTGATGTTTGTGACGAGTTGTCTTCTGGCAGTATGCAGATAAAGATGGGGGGACTGATAGAAACATTAAAATATGAATGCAAAAGGCAAGAGGAGTTTTCATAACTCTAGGAAATTAGTGAAGGTGAAATAAATTAAAACTAACAGTGAAGTTAAAAAAGATGGGAGGACATGGGGGAAGCTGCATGTGACAGTACAGGACCTGGTGTGAGTTTTTTTAGGGTGTGAGTTTGTTGAGGGTGTGAGTTTGTTCAGGGCGTGAGTTTGTTGAGGGTGTGAGTTTGTTGAGGGTGTCAGTTTGTTGAGGGCGTGAGTTTGTTGAGGGTGTGAGTTCGTTGAGGGTGTGAGTTTGTTGAGGGCGTGAGTTTGTTGAGGGTGTGAGTTTGTTGAGGGTGTGAGTTTGTTGAGGGTGTGAGTTTGTTGAGGGCGTGAGTTTGTTGAGGGCGTGAGTTTGTTGAGGGTGTGAGTTTGTTGAGGGTGTGAGTTTGTTGAGGGCGTGAGTTTGTTGAGAGCCTATACTCTAGTGGGATAAAGGGCAGAAGAAGAAAGCAGATTGTTTACATGCAAGGTATACGAAGGCTGTGGGAAAAGTCCTGGTACAATTAAATTCTTTGGCTATATTTTTTTGGGGAACCAGAAGCACTTGAAGTGCTCACAGTGTTGTGAGCATCAGAGCCCTTCAGCCTTGGTGCCATATACATCATTAAACTGGGGAGTATGCAGCTTTTGGCTTTTCTGCCATCCCCCAGCTCGAATCCGCAGTCCAACACACTAACTGCAGGGCCAAGCGCTTTGGCTATATAAAACATCACACTGGATTAGAAAGCAATGGCATGGTTCATAAAAGAAGATGGTCAAACAATGTGACAGTGGACACAGGACATTACAGACACTTAGCACACAAAGCAGTTTAACAAAATGTTTCTGGTTGTGAAAACAGCATGAACTTCTTCTTTAAGTCCATGCCGTATGGCGCTTGGTAGTCATGTCTATCCACAACCTTCAGTCTCATATACTTTCAACCAACTCTGACACAGATGATCTTCCATGCTATGATGTCATATCGTCCAGCATTTGTTCACTCGGTCTTCCTCTGTCTCTCCTCTCCTGCAACTTTCCTACCATCATGATGTATTCCAGTTTTCTCCTTTTCATCACAAGACCAAAGATTAAAGACTGTCTCTTTCTAATGTGGGCAACAGTTCCCTTTGTAAGTCAGCTTCTTCCAAGACGTCTTCAATACTCTTTTTTTTTCTGTCCAGGGTATTCTCATCATTCGTCTATAAAACCACATCTCTTCTTCTTCTTCACTTCCTCTTTTACCGCTGTGGGTGTCGAGGGAGATATAAGGTTCTGTTTCTAGCTCTTCTGGCCGCCTCGACCATTGGCACATCGTGCTGTTGTAGAGTTTCTCTGATGTTATCCTTCCATCTTGTTCTTGGTCTACCTCGTGCTCTACGTTTTTCTTCTCTTTCCATGTATGCTTTGTATGGTATGGTGTCACAAGGCATTCTCTCTAAGTGGGCAAACCATTTCACTTGCTGTCTTCGTATGTAATTTAGAATTGGTTCTGTGCCGACTTTTTCTCTTATGATCTCATTCCTGATCTTATCTCTTATGGTCACTCCTACAGTCCTTCTCAGACATCTCATCTCCATGGTTACTAATTTAACCACATCTCTGCAGCTTCCAAATAAGTTTTCACTAATTTACTAACTGGCCATGATTCACATCTGTACATCAAAATAAGATTTATATAGCTTTTAAGAATTCTCTTTCTCGTCTCAACTGACAAAGAAAGATTGCATAAAAATTCTTCACTTTGTAAAATGCTGCCTTTGCTTGAGCTATTCGACACTTAACTTTCTCAATATATCTTCCATCTGATTTTATCAGGGTATCCAAGTAATTAAACAAATCAACTTGCTTGTTGAGGTTTGTCCTGTTTACATTTATGTTGCATTTTGGAAGGTCTTTGCAATTAGCATTTCTTCTGTACAGCATGAACAGTGAGCTGATATATGAACAATTAAGTAGAAGCTGCTGTGATGTCGTTTTATATAAGAATGATGAGAATACTGCGGGCAGATTAAACAAACAAAAAAAAAACCTTGAAATAAATAAACTCACAAAGAAAAGTAAGTACCTGCATTCAAAAGAAGAATAGCATATTCCTGGTATGGAAGAACCCCCCCCCCCCTCCATTATGCTGGCTTATATTTTGATTGCTTCTTTTTATTTCTTCTATATTTTCAGTGTTTCTCTACAGAAGAACAATATTTGATTGTGCGTGTTTTTTTTTAAACATGACAATTTTCATGTTAGTATCCTCTTTATCTGTCTTGTTATTAATATGTTCCTGTTGTTAAAACATTTTTTTTCTGTCATTCCAATCTTTCAAATGTCTATTACACTTGTGTTTTTCAAGGTGAAAGATATACATATATAAACGTCTGTCCCCATTTTTCCCAACCGTCGCTTTAAATACAGACAACAGGCACATATTGTCTCTGATAACGGCGATACTTTTCGACTTGCAGATAGCAGCATCTCCCGGCACAATAGAGCAGTGTTTAAAAAAACAAGAAACAAGTGGTCTCAGTCATATCTTCATCCTGGATCATGTTATAAGACAACCGGCGTTGTTGACAGTAATGTCGGGCATAAACAAATGCAACAAACGGGGCCTTTTTATGAACCAAGTATTTAAACCAACGACCTCCTTTCCTCAACTGTCTCGATTTCTCTTCCTCGTCACCTCAACTTCTCACACTGGAATCTCAGTAACTGGTCTGACCTAGTAATGTACAGGTAAAACCAAACACTGAATGGCGGGGGAACACTCTTTCCCTGTTTCTTGTGCCAATTTGTCAGGTGGGTAAAAAACAAAAACAATTCATGCCAACAGCTGCACTTCCTCTGTGTGGGTGTGCTGAAATCATCACTCTTCAGCCGGCTGACTTGCGTGTGTCCGGGGGGGGGGGGGGGGGGGCAAGATACTCAGTCTGTGGGTTATATAACAGTGTCTGCTGCTGTTGCCCAGCAACAGTGACTGCTGCTGTTGGGTTTCCGCGGATCCCTTATATACCCAAGACATTCTACAGATGATATACCTGGCGCGTGAAACTGAATCACTATTTCTGATAACCCTGAAGGGTGCCCATGCTGCCAGGGACGCAGTGCCAGGGACATGATAATACGGGACTTGTGTGTCCTATAGGAAGGCGTCATTCTACGACTATAATGCTTGTTGCACCGTAAGCGAACAACTTTAGAGACATTGTACAAGAATGTACAACGAAACTGTAACGCGAAATAGTCAACACAATTAACTCAACCTTGGCTGTCTTCAACATCGCTGTCTTCAACATTCAAGAGGCCGGCGGTAGTCGGAATCTGAATCTGAACGCCCAGCAACTATGCGTCACTTTATTTAACGAATTCTTCACTTCTTCTTCTTATCATGCACTGAGTCTCGGGCAGAGAGTTCTTGTTCTTCGTCCAGTTGCATTCTACTGCATGCTTGTTATGATGCAGTGCATCTATTCTATCAGGTGAAACGCGAAGCAACTTCCACTGTTATGATACAGTGGATCTATTCTATCAGGTGGGTCGCGAAGCAAATTCCACTGTTATGATGGGCTGCGGTGGTGAAAGGGTTGAGGAACACTGATCTAGTGAACACCCCTGACGAGATAGCGATGACGTAAAAGACAAACTTTCAGTGTAATTCTCTAAGTGATCTGGATGTAGCAAGGTAGGCTCATCACCACTGTAATCTATCAACGCTTCTGAACGATAAGCAGGTACACACTGGGAATTCTTTCACACGAGAACGCCAGTGGTACGCAAATGTTTCCTAGAGGGAGTGTGTGTGAATGAGATGCGGACAGAGGTGATGGTGTGGAGGGGGTGAGTAAGACAGGTAAGTACGTATAGACTGTAGACAGTACACATTGTTACAGAACACGCCAGCTGCTTTTGATACTGTATAACACAGAGAAGCCAATGTTATATGATGGCACGCAACATAGGTAAGACATACACAGGTCGACTACTTCTAAACCCATTCTGTGTGTGTGAGTACGTGTGTGTGTGTGTGTGCGTACGTGTGTGTGTTTGTAGGTCATCCTGTTGCAAATTTCTGTCACGTCTCTGCATGTAAGTATGTCTCATCTGTCTATGTGTCTAAATAATTACCTTCAATGCCCCCACCCCGCCCCCAATATCTTGACAAATGAGTCTTCCCCGCTCCCCGTCCCCCTCGACCTGACACACTCCCACACACAAAACCAGACTGAAAATATGCGCAGCTCGAGGCTTACAGTTATCTTTTTGAGTGAACCTTTTTATCGGTCCACAGGCTCATGGTTTCTGGATACTAAAACAAACAACAAACAAAGATCAATCCACAGTGGTCTTATAATTCCTCTACGTAACCCCAAACGGCAGCTCTCACATAATTTGTCACTAATCGACCAGTCCAGGATTCGTTTCCCGACCTTCATAAGAACTCGCTTTCCTAGGATTCGTATTCTGACCCCAATTATAATCTTCTTTAAGGTTGAACAATGTGATCTTTATAACTAAACAAACAACAAACGATGCTTATGCGTGTATACTAAACTAGTCAAGTACAGGGATAAGTTCACGACAGCTGGACAGTGTGCCCAAGAACACATATGTGCAGTGAGTCTT